TAAGTTTATTGACATACATTCATAAAATAGTAGTTCAATAAAATTTTTAATGTAAGTCTACAAACGTGATGACATGCTCTCTGACTCCTAGCTACTCATATCGATAGGGTTAAAAAGAGGTAAGTGGAATATGCAAGAGAAAAACAAAACCAGTGCTACAAGAAGTAGAACCAATTAACAATGGCCCAACAATTCTGAAAGTGAGCTATAAGAATCTATTACAAGTTTTAAAAATGTAAAAGCTTATGGCACATTTGAGATACAAGTGTAATTTTAAACAGAAATGACCCTTTCAGGGATTACAAATCTGATTGAAAATTTGTAATATAGAGAAGAGGAAAAATACTAACAGACCTTAAAAGGTCTGTTTTTATACTCATTTCCAAGAAACTTAAGTCAGTACAAGACTATCCATGTTGATCAATCATACCTCTAAAGTACTGATAAAAGTAATTATCAGCTGAATTAAATATAAGTTGGACAATGAGCTATCAGAAGACCAGAGATGGTTTTATAAGAGGTAATGGAATGTAAAACAGTATATTTGGCCTTAGAATGTTAAATGAAAGAATCATGAAAATGTAAAAAAAAATCTTTAGGTTTCATAGACTGTAAAAAGGTTTAGACAGGGTTAACCATGAGAAATTAATGAAGGTCTTAGAACAGATGTCAGAACCCTGAAAAATTTATACTAGAATCATGAAGAAGCAGTATGGAGAGCTAAGCTGCTCCTTTGTGATCAACTGTTTTACTGTGGCTGGGTTAAAGTGCTCATGTCATGACCTTTTACATTGTTATATCCTAACTTTAATTAAACCACTTTATTATCAAAGTACATCACTGAACTTCTTGGCATGAAAACATAGTTTATAATTCAAATTTTATATTAATTGAGTGTTAAACTTCTTAATTTCAAAAAAAAATATCAACCATTTTTCTGTCATAACATGTCTGAGCTCCAACTTCTCCCCTTCAGAATTTTGTAGGCTGCTGCAGATTCCAACCAATTAGAAACACAAACTATTCATGATTACAAGAAAGAATAAAAAATTTACACCTCCTACCTTCTTGATTTACTGAGATATTAATACATTTGTCAAACCCACCAGAAAAGCTCCTTCCCTTTAACACTGATTAGTAATAAACTTTACATGGCTACTGGACATGTTTATAAACAACAACAAGAGTAAAATCTCCTTTATAGAAAGCTACTTACCAGTTTTTTTAGTTTTGGTGATTATGTTATTCACTAAACTAAAGTGTTTAGCTATGTGATCAGTATATTGTTACTCAGAAGAGTAATCCATTTTACAGCTTACTTAGAAGGCCAAATAAATTATAGTAGTTTTTAGAAATTATATTCTAGAGAGATATTTATTGTGTTCTAAAATGCTTATCTGAAAACTATACGAAGTCTTTATTTGGACACCCAAGGTTGTGAGACTTAATCAAAAGAACATCTACTCAAATGCAAACTGTCTAGCATGAGTACTACAAATCCTTGCTTTTATGTATTTTTTATTTAATATGTTATTAATATAACTCTATAAAGTAACTAAAATGTAAAAATTATAAACTCCTCATTTTAGCCTAACAAAACTTCAATAAAATAAAATGTCAAAATTACATTATCTTGACCCTGTGTAACAGGAAACCTTACAATCACACAGTGTTTACTTTAGCTCTACAGGAAACAGTATCTTATATTTTTCAACCTTTCATTTTACTTTTATAATTGTCACTGCAGTTAGTGTTAAGGTAGAAAAATGAAATTAAAATACAAACTTTTTATATTCATTTAAGAAGTTCTATAGGTTATTCAAATGAAAAATGGAAACTTTAAGATGAAAAGAAGTATTTTTTATTCTTAGCATGAAAATCAGCTTCCTCTAAGAGTGACTCATTAACCCTTTTAGAAGAATGCCATCTTTAAATTCTTTTCTACACATATTACAAGTTACATTCAAAATTTAATTAAACAACTTCACTATCCACATTTGTCAATGAAATTAACATTATAATATATGTTATTATTTTAATTTTTATGTTACCTAAATTTTAATTCCTTTGTGTCAAAAGAAACATTTAAAAAATATTTAAACTGCAATTTTCTTGTCATGTGATCCATGTGCTATAGAAAATCTCCACTTTAGCAGGAGCTGATTGTAAACATGTAAACTTGCAATGTATCTGAATGTCTAAACAGCAATGGCCTTTTGGCATGTAAGATACAGTCTCACAACTGTATTTACTGGGAAAGAGAAATAATTTTTCCAATCCTTGACAGGGCCATGCCCACCTTTTACAGGTTGCAGTAAAATTTACAATGTACACAAAATTAATTGATACAATTGATACTATACTCCATAATGGTCAATTTCAAATTGGTGCAGTTTTTGTATTAAAGTAGATGTAACTGCCTGTAATACTGTTGTCTGCTTGATCAACTATAGAACTTAACGGTGGTTTGTTACCTAAATATGCTATAGTTAGAGAGACAGTTAAATTGTATTTAGGCCTTACTTTTATATTTTAGTTAATTATGTATTATTTGTGTTTAATAGATCATATTTGAACGGTTTAATGATTTTAATAAGTTTTGCTTGTTGCCTGGATTATGAAAGCTTTATAAACACAAGATGGTGTGTATTATAAGCGCCATCTTGTTTTGGCAATGAGTCTCTGCGGGGAGTCTCCCAAAATAACTTCATAAAGTCCTGCTGGCATCAATTTACATATCAGCATAAATAAATACAAAGAACTTGAAAGGAAAACTAAAAATAAACTGTAAGTGAAAAAAGATGTCTATTCAAGTGAATTTCTATGAAGAGTTGAAAGGTATATACATATTTCTATATTTTAATTTTAAACATTTCATCGTACTGTATATTGATGATAATAGATAGATTTAGTAGTGATATAGTAGAGAAAATGGAAAACAAAATATAAACACTTCCCTTAAAAAACGTTTTACATTCATTTAGGAGGCTCTAGAGATTATGCAAATGAAATGTTTAAACTGTAAGATAATAAATAGTATTTTTATACTCAAAATAAAAATCACCTTGCATGTTAACTATTCATAGTCCAAGTCAAATAACTATATAAATAACAATTTTTTTACTAGCAATAGTAGAAAAATTAAAATTAAATGTTTTATTTTCTGAAACTACATACTTTTAGGAAAGCTCATGTTAAATTCCAAACAACTTCATCCACTAGTTTCATTTTTGTAAAGAACTTTCATGAGAGTTGTGTAACCCACTTTCAAAACTCATAGGTCGTCGTCATCAGGTTAAAGGCTTCAGAAATTCACAGACAAATCTTTGGTAAAAATACTTTACAAAAATGTAATTTTTTTATCGAACTGGTGTATTTAAGTGTTTTTTATATACATAACACTTTTAACATTTACTGAAAGTTTGCTAAAGTTTGTGAAAATACCTGAAAATTCAGAGCTATAGTATGTTCAGCTTCACAGAAACAAACTCAACCCAATGGACCAACACCACACTTATTGTTAAAAAAGAGGTGTGCTGTCACTATCATTACATAACTTGTATGCATAATAACTTTTCTGAGAGGTGATTTATTTAACAGAAAAGATCAAGAGCACTAATGGGTATACTAGTGATACAGTAAATCTGAGAGAGAGGTACATTCGTTACTTGACAAGCTTGCTGATAGAGAGATAAAATATGGATTCAAAATAAATTTCAACAAAACTAAAACAATGGTAATTTCACAATATGAGGAAGTTTGTAGCATTTGCATCAAAGCAGAAGGTAATACAATGGAACAATAAGAGGAGCAATACAGTTACTGATGGTTAATGTGAAAGACAAGAAATATAAAGGGTAAGACAGAAATGACAAACACAGCATTCTTCAATCTCAAAGAATTGCTTCAAAGAAATGTTAAACATAAATTGAAGAGGAGAATATTTAAGTATGATCAATCCTACACTAAGGGGTGGAAATGTGAACCCTGTCTGTTGAAACAAAATGACAGTTGGAAATATCTGAAATGTGGTGTTATAGAAGAATGACGAAGATCGGCTGCATAGAAATAAAAACTGATGAGGAAGTTTTGGAACATGTAAAGACAAAAAGACTACTCCTAGACACATGTAGAAATGGAAGATAATGTGGGCATAGGAAAGAACAACACAGATTCTGACAGAAAATAAAACAGAAACTCACTTGGTTCAATGACATTCAGAAATGGACTTAAGTACAATGAATTAGAAAGATTATGCAGGCAGTAAGAATTAGAGAACAAAGGAGAATTATCATTGTTGACACTCAAAAAACAGGAGGACATGATGCTGATGTTGGCATGATGCAACTCTCCCCTGATAAAGTTGATATAGCAAAATGTTAAGACTAAAAATATTTCATCTGATGATTAGTCATATTCATCATCAATTTTACAGTGTGGCTTACTTCACAGTAGAGTATGTTAAGTAAGGAGTAATTAATATGAAGATACTGGATGCACACACACAGTTGTAGCCACCGTAACTGAATATGAAATAGTGATGATGTACGTAATTCAGACTATGTTTACTTAACTGATGCTATAAATAGTAGAGGAGTATAATGAAAACAATTTAAAACAATGCATCTATATAAATTATAAATTTAAAACCAAATTGACATCCTGCTAAACTGTGTGTACAGTTTAACTCCTTAACGTTCAATAATAAAAGATAGCTTATTTTGAGCACAAACCTTTGGAACGGACTTCCTAAGAATTTCTTTATATTCATCCTTGGTAATTTCTTTTCTATTGTAATAGGGTTTTACAGCAAGCTTCACTTCCTCCACAACCCGTTCCTGACGATTAAGTTTTTTGAGGAACTAGATTTACAAGTAACACACAAGGCACTTAGACTTTTCTTAAATAATCACTTTCAACTTGTATTATAAATTGTGTCTGAACTAGATATATGGAACTTCAAAATGTTACCTAATGTTTTTTTTATTCCCAATATACAAATTTTCTCCCACAATTAACAGCAATTCAAATTTCTTGTTTCATCAAAAACAGACTACATATCAAAACTCAAAGTTCTGTAGTAAGAGATTTTACCATGAAAATGATAAAACAAGAAAGATGAAATATACAAATGATAACTGTAAAGTAACAAATGGCCTTTGCTGAAGATAAAAAAAATTAACATTATCATCAAAAAGGCTATCTATTTCTTATCAAATGACTACATATTTTTGCACTCAACTACAGTTTCATGCAGTCTATGAGACTGAGTAATAGGTTATACAGACTACATTTCAAAAATTAAAGTTCTGTAATAAGAGATTTTACCATTAGAATGATAAAAGAAATAAAGGAAAAACATACAAATGATAAATGTAAAGTAATAAATGGCCTTTGCTAAGGATAAAACATATTACCATTACAAAGGTTATTTGTTTCTTATCAAATGACTACATATTTTTGCACCCAACTGGAGTTTCATGCAGTGCTATCAGATTGAGTAATAGGCTATACTAGCTGAAGTACATATTCAATGCAGAGAGAAGGAATAGGGGCCTCTAAAAGTGACACAGGGGATCATATTGGAATGTGATCCCTATGTCACTCCCCATTGGAGCCTGGTACATGCCAGGTGCTAATCGATCCAGCAGTTTAAGTTATAAGTGGACACACTAAGTTTTTGTCAAATAATTGGTTCTGATTATCTTTTCTTAATTACTTGAATAATAATCACTAAGTAATTTACATTTTATGGTTAAGAAAAAAGGAATAATAAACTGAAGTAAAAATATCCATAAGTAAACATAAAGAAGAAGTTTCAGATTATTTTTTACAAACCAATCCAAAACATTTACTAACAGTATAAAACTCTTTATAATAAATAAGTTAATCCTTTTACAGATCGTAAATAAAAATAACAGTAAAAGAAAAAAGATTACTTTTAAAAAACACATGCAAGATATTATACAAAATACTAATCTTAGTTATTACAGTGTACCTTTTCTTTAACTTGCATTTCCACTGCTGAACTGGGCAATTCATCCAGAATTTTTAACTGGGTTTCATCCATTTTCATCATTACTCCTTTTTTATCATCCTTTCTATTGGTTACGGAGCTGCTTAATTTAGATCTATCAATAACATCAAATCTTATACAGTGTTTATGCTTGCTGATTTCAGATCTACAGTCTTGCTTTGGTTTTTTGGAGATGTGTGAAGCAACTTCCTGCCTAGAATGGCTTTCTAATGATCGCTGAAATTCAACTGACTGTAAACTCTGATGATCTCCATTTTTTGATTTCCCAATTTTGCTTTTTGATGACTCATGACTTCTTTTACCATGAGATGATGTCACTTTTTCCGAGGAAATTAAAGATTCAAAACTATCTTTTGCCACGGAAACAGAATTGTTCTGAGAAACAGAAATAGTTTTTTCATCAAGTTCTAACAATGGAGAATCGACAGGTGAATCAGGAGAATATGGTGATTCAACATCCATGTCTACAACGTCTGTTACATCCTCCTGGGGCTGTTGCTTAGTAACTTGGGCAGCTGATACTCTGGGTAACAATGCAGCAATAACTGATGCTACTGGTTTTGTCTGAGTCATGGATACAATACCTTGGCTCTGTGAGTATATTTGACCTTGGGATACAATACCTTGGCTTTGTGAGTAAATCTGTCCTTGGGAAACAATACTCTTACTCTGTGAATACATTTGGCCTTGAACAGAAGCAGGAAGTGGAGGTGGAGGTTGCCTAAGGTTGGGCAGAGACATCTGTGGAAGTAACCCTATATTAGGAGGTGGAACATTGGTCATTATCACACTGGAAGGTAAGGTAATGTTGACTCCTACATTTTGTGACCTAACTTGGGAGAAAACAGGTAAAGCATTTGGTGGTGGTAAACCAGTACCAAGGTGAGAAGCACCTGGCACATTTGCTGATGATATATTGGATGGTGGATGTTGTGTGGAAAATATTCCCCCTTGCATTACATTCTGTAAATGTGAAGCGGTAAACATCATATGTGGAGGTGCTGTTCCAACATGTTGATTTAATGATGGGAGTCCACCAGAATTTAGGAGATTCCCATTGTTTGCAGAAGAATTACTATGTACATTCTGGGGCACAAAGTTTGGAGGAGGGACTCTAAGGTTTGGTAGGATCACTGAAGCTCCCTGAGGGGCACTAAATGTTGGAGACCGAGAAATATGAGGTGTGGCAACAGAAGATGATGAAAAAGAAGTGGGTATGACAGAACTGACTGATATGCTGTTCTCTGAATTCTTGAAATTTAAACAAGTCACAGAATCTTCTGGTAGTGGTGGTTCCTCTGGTTCTGGTTCTGTTGGGAGTGGTGGCAATTCTGGTGATGGAGGTGGTTTTGGTTTTTCATCCTGCATGGAAGGTATATCAACAGATTTTACTATGTAGGAAGCTTCATGGTGTGAAGTTGGACTCTTAGTTGGTTCACAAGGGTCATAGCTATCACTTTCAACAGGGAATGGATATGATGGTGAGTGTGGAAAAGTTGTTCTTGATTGGTTTTTCTTCTTTGTATGAATATTGCTTTCATCATAACTGATTGACAGAATGTTTTCTTTCCCACTAGATTCTAAATTTGCATCAAGATTTTGTTCCACATTTCTTTTATGGCAGTCAACTTCAGCTTCACTGTCAGAAGAATTTCTATTTTCAAAACCAAAACTTTCAAACTTCAAACCATCATCACTCATTATGGTAATGGTATCTTTTTCCAACTGGAAATCTTCATCAAGTGGGATTTCCGTTGGTGTAACTTCCCAAATATCTTCACTGAACTTAAGAGTTTTTGACCTCTGCTTAACAGTATTTTCTTCAAGAATGTTATTTTGATTATTATAACTTGTATTTTTCTGATTTGCATTGTTTTCAGTTAAACTTGTAGATTTGAGGAACTTAATATCAGACTGACTGTCTGTTTTATCTTCCCTACATTCATCAACTTCACACTCTTTTAGAGTATTCCTGTTAAAATTAACATTAATAATAATACTATCACCTTTTGCATATATTTCTTTGGCATCAAGGGATGTTACATCAGAATAAGGACTTACTGCCCTGTTTTTTCGCTTTTTATGATCATGATGACGATGGCCTTTATCGTGATGTCTTTTTTCATGTTTATCAGTTTTTTCTTTGCGCCCTTCATGTTTTTCGGTAAAGATTTTCACTTTTTCTTCTTTTCGACATTCTCGTTCGCGACTTTTTTCAGATATGTGTTCATGAGAATGCCTTCTGTGCTTTTCTTTTTCTTTACTCCTACTGCTTTCCTCTTTATGATCTTTAGTTTTATGTCTTTCTTTGTACATCTTATCATGCTTATCAATGTTTTTATCATAATTTTTATCTGTTCTCCACTCTCTTCTTTCATTATTTTTATCATAAGGTTTTTCCAAGTGTCTTTCAACTTTCTTCTCTTTAGAAAAACGACTATAATCAGGCACTTCTACATCAGTCTTTTCCTTCCACAAGTCAATTTCTGATCTCTCTTTAACTCGATCACTTCCTGTTCTTTTGTACTTATCATCCTGTTTCCAACGGTCAGAATCTGACTTTTGTGCTTTGGTTCCCTCTTTACTCTTGTCATCCTGCTTCCATCGATCTGTTTCTGATTTCTGAATTTTATCCAGTTTTTGATATTTACTACCTTCTCTACTCCACCCATCTTGTTTCCATCGGTCCAACTCTAACTTGTATGATTTATTTCCTTCTTTATTGCCTTTTATTTCACGCTGATAGAGTAACTTTTCATCTTTTGGTTTTCTGTCTCTGTAAATTCTATCTTTAGAACTCTTTGAGAGTTTTTTCCAGCTGATGTCAGAACAACCAGCATCTATTCTTTCTAAAACGCTGGTTCTTTTGCTCTCAGTGCAATGTTCTACAGATAAATCCATTTCAACATTTTTAATTTTAGGAATTCTTGGAAGTTCTGATACATTGATTCGAGGAGCCATGTCTGTTAAGTCTTCAATTTCTTCTTGTTCCTTGTGCCGGGAACTGTGTTTCTGTCTTTCTGAATATCTCTTGATCGGAGTATCTTCAACAATTTCACCCTCTTCTGCTTCATCATCTAGATGGATATGATGTGATTTACAACTGGTCTTATGCTTCTTCCTTGACTTGGATTCCAGTTTTCTACAGGCCCTTCTATTTGTTTCTTCTTCAGCAAATAGTAAAGCCACATTCTTCTCAACATCATCTTGTTCACTGTAGCCTTCTTTACTAAACTTATATGAAATATTAATATTTTTATTACAGTCATTACTGACATCACCTTCCTCGCAAACCATTTCATTTTCATCTTCTGAAATGTCCTCCACTTCTCCTGCTAAGTTTAAACTTATCTGGTGGGGAAATTTAGCATTTTCATTTGAATTGCCTAGCTGGTGCATAACATGGTGTTGCTCACTATGATACATCTCCTGTTGTGCACTGTTTTCTTTCTCTGATCTATTTGTCTCAGTTCTTGTAGTTTTTTCTAATTCTTCTTCCATAGTTTCAGCATCAAATGATTCTAAATTGTCATGCTTGTTTTGCTCCTCGATATTATGCTCTTCAACATCATAATCATATACATTTTTATTTTCATCCATGTCTTCTGAATCCTTTTTCATTTCTTCTTCAATATTATCATTAGTTACATTTTCATCTTCATCAATGTCTTCTGCTGCTGCTGCTTCCTCATCCTCTTGGATATCCTCATTCTCTACATTTTCATCTTCATCCATGTCTGCTACTGTTGCTTCTTCATCCTCTTGGATATCCTCATTCTCTACATTTTCATCTTCATCCATGTCTGCTACTGTTGCTTCTTCATCCTCTTGTTCCTGAATATCCCCACACTTTACATTTTCATCTATGTCTTCTGCTTCTTTTTTCTTCTCCTCCTCATCTTCTTGTTCCTCAATATCTTCACACACTACATTTTTATCTACGTCTCCTACTACTTCTTCCTCCTCCTCTTGTTCTTCAGTAACATCATAGTCTACATTTTCAGCTTCATCTATGTATTCAGTACCTTCATCATTCTGCTCTTGATAATCATTATATACTGTACTCTCCATTTCATTCAAGCCTTCTGCTTCTTTCTCATTCTCTTGATCATCATCAGTCTCTATTTTTTCAGTTTCATCCATATCTTCCGTTTCTTCATCGTTGTCCTCTTGTTCTTCAACTTCCTCATCCTCTTCTGATTTTCCTTCCACAAGATATTCCATACCTTCTCTAGGCTCCATTATAAGCTGATTCTCAGCAGCTCTATCATTTTCACATATATTTACACCAATACATTCTGCATTTGTTTCAGATGAAGTCCCTTGTTCATCACCAAAACAAATTTCTCTTTTATCCATTTTATGAGATATATATTCAACTTGTTTTGACAATCTATTTTCTTGATTTTCTTCATTCCTACCTTCTTCCCAGGTTTGGTCTCCACTTTCACCTTTTTCAGCATTTTTAGCACTGTCTAAGTCTTTATTTTTCTCCCTATTATCTTTAGATGGGTTATAAAAAGAAACATTCAAAGCTTCTTCTAACTTTTCTTTTTCAACAATTTCTTGCATTACATTTTTATCTTTATTATACTCATCATTCACATTCTCTGATGACAAATGTCCACCAAAATTGGTAATGTGGACATTCTCATCATCACTGTAATTGTGATCCTCATCTTTGACATCCTCATCAATAACCAGCTCATTTTCACTTGAGTCACTACCTTCTTCAAGGTTACCTATATGAGAATTAATATGAAAATTAGCACAGCTTGGCAAAGAAAACTGATGATCAGTACTTTCTTCATCCATCATCAGTGCATCTTCCCCTAAAGATTCAATGTCACTATATATATCCACATCTTCTTCTATCTGGAGATGTTTTTTTTCATTCTTATGAGAATGTTTATGTTTCTCTTTGCGATGATGACTATGAAATGAACTACACTGCCCATCTGTCGGTCTAGAAGGACTATGATCACAAGAGTTATCTTTTGAAGTCCTTGATGGTTCACAGCTACTAAAGGTACAAATACTTTCCCCTGTGAAAGCACTAATGTTTTCCTGACTTATATTACTGCTTTTAGAATACCCTTGTGTTGAAGTTTCTTTAGAGCTAGTACTCTGGGAGGTTGGATCTTGTGGTCTTTTCTGTATACTACCATTTGGGCTTTTTAAAGTCAATGAACTATACCTAGATTTCAAAGTTCCATCCTTATTAATCCTAACATCTTGGGAGCTAGAATGCAAAAGAGACTGTGTTTGAAGAATGGAGCCTAGAAGGTCAAAGTTCTGAAGATTTTCAGATGAAGGCACAGTAGGCACATTTTTCCTTGAGTAGAGGGAAGAAAATTACATGTATATGTACATAGAGAGACATAATATTTTAAACAATTTTTTTTTCAAGATCTTAATATTTACAAAGTATTATAATAACTAATGTATCCCATGTTACATCATAATTTTTGTCACAACAGACTGTTAATCAGTTAGACATAAACAATGAATAATTATAACTAAACACAGATACATTTTATATATACACCCACACATACATCTACTGGATTTATCAGTTTGATTGGCTGGAAAACAGCAGCTGCACAAATACAGTTATCAGGATATCTAACCAAGAAATTCTTGGTATGTTAACCCTTTCTAGCCCAGTGTTAGTGTTTTTTATGAAGGCACATGACAACATTAAGTTTTAAAAAATTCAATCTGACTCTCTCTCCTACACACTCAAATTACCTACAAAATAAAACTATAATTACATTTTCAAGTTTACAATTTTGCTTTAATATACAATTATTAACATGTGTTTAAGATAAAATAATAAAAAGTCCAAAATGCTTATACTAATTTAGATTTTTTTTCAAAATTTAAAAAATGTGAATTTTTCAACATGATGTCAGAATAAAAAATCTAACCAATTTCAATCTGTTTTCTACAATTTCTAAGCTTCTAAAACTAACACACACACACACACACACATACATACATACATATATATATATATATATATATATATATATATATATATACACTAGGGTATAGCCTGTCAAAAATAACTGGCAAAGTACTACTATCCACACCCCCACAGTATACCCTAACCTCGCATTTCATAGCTACCTAAAATAAAAATATTTTGCAAAATCAAGCTTGACCAATAAAGAGGCAGTCAAACAGTGGTAAAAAACAAACAAAATTAAGATCATTCATGAAATGAATTTGTGGTGTATACATAGAATAATTATTGGTAAAAATCAATTAGATTAACAACTTCTAATATATAGAAAAGCCAGTGCATTTTGGTAACACTATGTTCCAACAATAGCTTTTATGTTTTGTTGCTTAGCAACAAAAGTATAATCCAATATCGCTGTTAGTCTATGTACTGAAAGTATAAAATGAAATGTATAGACAACAAAACTGGAAAAAAAAATTTTAATCTAGAGTCCCTGTTGATTAAAGAGGTTTGTTTTTTGTTAAAAATGTTGGTGATATAACAGAAAATAGCTAAACTCAGAATTGATTTAAGTGTAAAATTAATCAATATTTGTACTTTCATGATAAATTTTATGCACTTGGCCTTAGGCTAGGTGATCCTACACCACACCTTTACTTTAGGTTTATTATACCAACACTCACTACACTTATAAAAGTCTCACAGCACCCCCCCCCCTCTACACAAACAGCCCCCTTGCAGCCTAGTCACTAAAATCATAATGGGCAGACAGTAATCAAACTATTCTACCTGGATAAATGCATTTTGGCTTTTATGTCTCCTCCTATTTCAGGAAATCAAGCGTGACGTGACACACATTGGCTTCTATATAGGTTACATTATTTTTATTCTCACAATCTAGTTGTTATAGTGCTCTTTTTCTTTCTTCTGTTTATTATAAATTTCTAAGTTTTGGTTACTAGATCACAAGCCTTTCAGACATAACTTTCTCAAATAAAACTATAGTAAGATAAACATTATTTACATTACTTTTAGCAAAATATAAGAAACTTTGTTGCAAAATTTCTGTAATAAAGTGGACTAGATCCTGACACCATCAGGGCTGTGATTGCACAATTACTAATAAGCATGTGAAACCTGGCTTTTAGGTCAACAGTTATGGGTGTACTTTATAATATACAGATAAATAGTGGTTTTTATTTCATTATAAATTAAAAATTTGCCAAAAAAAAAAACACATTTAAGTTCAAAAATGTTCAATAGTTAAATTCTTTACATTTGAAGTGCCTGTTTCAGATAAGATTGCATTTACGAGTTAATTTTTATGAATGCCAATGTAAAAAATATAATATAGAGTACCACTGGCTGAAAAGTGTTAATTACATCAGTGTTCTAACTAATCTTAGAACCAAGCATTTAAATTTGATCAAGAATTTTAAATTCTGCATTAACAATAAATGTATATACATAAAGATTCACAGAGTTATCTGACTAACAACAAAATAAAAAAAATGTTACAGACAACAGCAAATTATTAAATTAATTCACAGCACAGTTCAAAATATAAACCACTAAAGTTATCAATGATTTCAACAATCACTTGAAATTAATCTTACCTTGAAGACAGAGATGCTCTAGATAGGATTTCTTTTGCATGAGCCTTAGCTTGAAGGCTTCTGTGTGGTCTCACTATACAAACATCCCCATTTTCTTCCTCAAAACTGTAAAATGGCAAAAAAATTTCCTTTCTTGAATTCTATATAATAAGAGCAATGAACAGTCAAGAAACCTTTGATATCCATTACTTTGTCACAATGATATAATACAGTTAACACCATAAAAATACTACATACGAAACAATCTATTCTCTTTAGATCATTCTACAATGTGTGTTTACATTATGAACACTGTACGATGTATATATGTCTCTTAGTTTAGATTTGGTACAAATTAAATCAACACTCACAGTCACTGTTGCTATAAGGTACTTAAAATATGGTTTGATGGATTTTTATGTTAGCCTTTTTTTAATATAAAGTTCCAACTCATTTTAGATCATAACCAATCTAACATTCTGATAATTTATAAACTATTTTTAATAAACTATCCAAACATATTATAATAAAGATATTTTTTTAATTAGTGGTCTCAAAATAAAGTGTAATTCAAATATTTTAAAATTACTGGGTAATTACTGTTTTAAAGCTGAGTACGTACTATATGTCCCTGTCAACTCCTATAGCATGAATAATAAATAAATTTAACAAAAACATTTTATCTTTTCATTTTTAGTTTTAGCCCATAAATTCTAATGTCAATTCTGTTTGTTTATTGAATTTTGTACAAAGCTACTTGAGAACTATCTTTTGAAATAATAAACTAGAGGGAAAAAAGATAGTCAACACCACCCACCACCAACTCTTTAACAACAAATTCTGGGATTGGTCATCATATCATAATGCCCCCATAGTTGAAAGGGCAATCATATTCAGTGAAGAAATTCAAACCTGAAATCCGTAGATTGGTAGTCGAGTGTCCTAACAACCAGGTCATGCCAGGCCTTAATATTAACCGATGTGTTACAACCACCTTTAATGCAAGTGTTATATTACATGATAACACATACCACAGACAGTACACATACAACTGATTCTTACACGTGTAATACAAAAAAATACACAATTGCTCTTAAGGAGTGATGCGTATCACTTTACAGTTTTTTGTGTCTATGTGTTGGTATTTTACTACTCATGTTATATTTTGAATTTTAATTTAAAAAATCTGCAGTTTAATAATACTTATGATATAAACTGCTTCAATTCCAGACAATGGTAGAAACTAGCTTTACAAAAAGAGAATAAAATACACTGGGCCATTAAAAGTTTGGGATGTCCAGATAACAGGCTGCAGTGTTTGAAGTGATTATAATTTTCTCTGTCAAAACAGTTTCTGTCCCCCAGTGGCACAGTGGTATGTCTGTGGACTTACAATGCTAGAAACCGGGTTTCGATACCCATGGTGAGCAAGGCACATATAGCCAATTGTGTAGCTTTGTGCTTAATTCCAAACAAACAAAGCAGTTTCTCAACATCTGGTTATCTATAGGAATTAGCCAACAAAAATTAAACTTTTTTGCCAGTTTTCTCTAATGCTGTATTGTTTAAACACTTCAAAATAGAAGCATGAGTATAATGTTAATTATAGTTATAATATTTTTTGCATATTATGCTTAAAGGTAAGTTACTTCTCTTCTGTCACAAGTAACTCAGGATGTAATTAAATTTTATGCATACAATATCTCATCAGCCTAAGAACCTAGTGCATGTGACATAGCCTCACTCTTGTTCCTAATACACTGAAGTCAAGTAGTCTGCAACTCAAATTTTCATAAAACGAGTCTTTCAGTACTCTAAATGATATCACAAAATTGAGTATATCTATAATAATGCACCACTATTGACTTTAGCACACATAGAAGCTAGTGATCAATTTTCTGCTGAAATCAAAATATTCAGTTTCATTAAAGGATTGGAACAGTGCTAGAGGCATTGATTATTTTTAGCTTTCACAACATAGGCATGTGAACTCTCAACAATTAAGAAAAAATCATTTTTAGGAACAGCAACATTTTGTTGATGAAAGAATAGAAGTTATGAAATTCAAATAAGTCTCTCTCTATGGGCTCAGTCAATTTGACCTAAATCATGGACCTTTAAAGTTTCCATACTATAACTTTTAACGTTTTGTGTATCTTCACAAGATTTTGCAAACTTTCAGTAAGTATTACAAGTCTTTTTTTAGACAGAAAGCAAAATTTTTAATGAAGTATTTTTACTAACAATTTCTACATGAATATATGGAGTCAAAGTGTTGACTGCTCCAAGAGCAAAGCAATTTTCATGTTACGATTAAAAATACTTTTCTTCATCTGAAAATTGTTAAATTTTATTTGCATAATCTCTAAAACCTCTTAGATAAATTTCAAACGTCTTTTTTCAGTAAAACTTCATGTTTCATCTGTTATTTTCTCTACCCTAACTCTATACATGGTTGTTCAAATTGACCAACATTGTAACCACTATAAAAAAGTACAAAACAAATATAAATTACCTTTTTTATCTTTCTAGAATGAGTTCAACTGTAACAGGTAACTAGACTTGTTTATCCTAAATAGATTAAAACCATTTCCAATATACATCTGTGTCAGTTTTTACAGGGCCATGATTCTTTACAGTAGGCATCTGTGACTTGTTGCAGATAAATTTCAAGAATAAATGGACAGCACACAATCCACTTGTTTTAAATAATATATATTCAAAACAAGTCAAACATATGTACAAAAATTCATTACACTACTGCTTACCACAGTTGAATCTAGAGCTTTAAATAATTCTCTTTTTCATCAAAAGTCCACATAGGCTGGTTCCATTACTCTAGAACCCAACTGACAAGACAAATTCTTCTTCTCTATCTCTGTTGTTAGAATACAAGCTGTGAAACTTATTTCAGAATCACCACTATAACTGTTGGTTACCACACTTGTACCCAGTTTTTTAAATAATTGTCTTCTTTTCAATAAAGTCCAAACGGATGGGTTCAAATATTTTAGAACACCCTTTGACAAGACAAATTATTCTTCATCTCTGTTGTTACAAGCTGCGATACTTTCACTTTAGAAATCGCCCATTACAGTAAAACTGACAATTACGCAGTCTAACTTCACCTTTTTCCCTTTCACTAACTTACTTCTTCTTACTTGCACTCTGTATCTGCGCATATTTATAACACGATAGAAAAATCTAGAAATATCTAGCCCTCTAGTAACAAGATATCAAGAATATTACAAAAGCCTAGTACAACAATTAAACTACATACACAACTTATGACTCGTACAGAGCAAGTAACGAAACTTGTCATAATTATATCTCTTAAAATAATTTACCTTTAACACTCTTATTATGAAACTAAATGATCATTAAATAAGCTAAATAATAACTCTTAAACTAAACAGTCTTGTATATACAACAATCTATTTCTATTTTAATTTTATTGGTTTATTGCCCTTTAAACCCTGTGCAACTAATAATACCACCACACAAGTTATAACTCACTTGGCAAATGTGTAGCTCATGTTATCCTATCTCATTATGTAATATATGAATGAGCTACTGGTGAGTTATTCAGAGCATACCTTGTGAACATTTTTTTATTATTGTTATTATTATTTTTCCTTATCTTACTTAATCTAGCCTTACAAGTTTCTAATTTTTAAATTTTAGTTACTATTATAATAATAATTAAATAATACACATAAAAACAAATAATATAATACTTATTTGGGTCTTTTTTTGTTAACTGTCGAAATTCATCCCTACTTTTTTTTTATTGTAATGGTACTACTACACTACACTGAATTTTTTAAATGTTAAAAACAAATGAAAATAACACTTTTTGATCATTTTTCTAAACTTCACTTTCCATGAATATAACAATGACTTTTACTCACACCATACAACCTCATGATGTCTTACATTGTGAAAAATTAAAGACTCTCTTATAGTTATAGATATCACAACCCCCATATATGTACTTTTAGTAGTTTAACACTACTACTTAGCTTGGAAGTCTTCCAAAATATTTGCCGTTTTCATGAGTAAAGAAACCGTATGATTTCTAATGAACCAACCCCCCATGAAACTGTACAAATAAAATGGCAAGGTTTTTTTAGAGATATTATTGAACATTAGCCCTTATCAACAGATTACATGAAACATAAATAAGGTGTTCAAATCTACATAATTTGCTGAAGTTGCTTATAGTCACTACTTCTGCAAGTTAATTACTTTTAGCAAATCATGTCTTTTTTAGCATTTCATGAAATGTGTATGAGCTTCCCCCTCCACCAACAAAATGTTTTATACACTCTTAAATATAGAAAACAATTTGAACAACCTCTTATTTAAAAAAACACTTTTACAAATGATATTGTTAAAACTTTGCTAATCAAAACTTGTATTCTATTTTTAACTGTATTTTTGTTGTTTTATCAGTACTGTGCTGAATTCTGATGATTATTTTAAACTCTACAGTTGATATATGATGTCCTCTCAGTATTCTACAACTGCTTATGCAAGAAAAAACTCTTACCAAATGAATTTAAACATACCACTCAATGTAAAAATGCAATCACACGAGCCACAAAAACACTTAGTACAGACTACTGATTTTATCACATCGTATACTGAAACAAGTTACCTTTCATTTACAACATCTAATTCATCTCTATCACCAAATAACGAAAGTGCTGAGATTCCTATATCACTACGTATTGAGTGAATTGTTCGTGAAGGACCTTGGCGTTTTATTACTGGTAGTGTCTGACCTACAGGAGGCTTCATTAGGCCGAGTTTTTCAGCAATTCTTTTCTTCACAGTCAAAGGTGCTGCAAGAGGCCTTGAAGCTGCCTTTGATCGTCTGGTCTGTAGAAGATTGACAACCAGTAATTGAAATATCTTAATTTAGAATAGGGACACTTTTAATTTTGTGATACTATAGATACAATTGATTTTTTTTTGTTCAAATTGCACAGAGAAAATCTACTTAAGCATTTCTGAATATTTTTTAAAACTTGGCTTTCTTTTTTAATCAAAGTGTTGCATTGGCAATAAAACATGTTCAAACAGATATGTTCATATATTAATAAATATATTCTTAAAGATACTTGATCTAATATAACTGTTTCTAATGTATTCGGTTCTTTTCTTGAAGTATTTCAAACATTATAACTTATAAATTTTCAAGCATTTCAAAATCTTAGCCTAGACTAATAAATAATTTTGAAAAGGCCATGTGGCATATTTTAACTATCCAATGCAATTCATTTGTTACAACTAAGAGGAAGGCAAAATATTTATATCAAAAACCAAACACGGTTATTACTGGTTTCACACATGTGTACATAAACAGGTCAAATACTTTAGTTAACTATTTTAGTATTCACATCATCTTGTTAGTGCCTCTAATATTATCAATGAAATTGTATAAAATTTCCTTGTTTTCACTTATGATGTAAACAAATTTAAAATCTAATAAACACTCAAATAAACAGGTCAAATACTTTAGTTAACTATTTTAGTATTCACATCATCTTGTTAGTGCCTCTAATATTATCAATGAAATTGTATAAAATTTCCTTGTTTTCACTTATGATGTAAACAAATTTAAAATCTAATAAACACTCAATAGTTCGTACACATTAAGTGGTTATTTTTGAAGACCCTTCCATATGTAGTTGTACAGCACTTCAATTATTTCCCTATGCAAAATGTAGTTTAATCTCAGCTGTTCAAAGATACCTTTCATCAGTCTGTAGCAGCAGCAATTGAAATGAAATACTTCAGCCACAAGAAAAACAATGTGGTTGCAAACCACTAGTAACTGAGGAGAAAAGGAAACCAAATGGGAATGTCAAGCATAACATATAATAGCATGGGTCCAAATTGCCAATTTCTTCAGCATTTGTCAGGATTCAGTTGCCTCTTTCTCTACACAGTGACAAATACATTGACAAGAAACTGCCATATAAGTCCTAAACCTGCTTATCTCAGATGCAAACAAGAAAGCACAATTTCAGTGAAGCATACATAGGGCGCAAACTGTGAATAATAAGTTACTGTAAATTTATGTTATAGTTTGACTGTTCAAAAATAAAGTACAGGGAAAATTTCACAAGGCACATGACCTTGCTTCTTTTATTCCAACAATAAGTCACTGGAGGTGGTATAATGACCAGGTGAACACTCTCAAAGCAAGATTTGGATGCTTTGATTTCTTCAGAAGAGTGAATACCAACCAGAATACTGTTGGTAATTATGTCTATCCTATAGCAACTGCATTTCCACCCAAATGGACAACAGCTCTTCTGAGACAAAAAAAAATCAACAATCCACCAAGGTTATATTGGCTGAAATTGGTTTGTAAAACATGACACTGACTTCAGCATCTTCAATGGCCAGAACAGTAACAAGAGTACCTTCTGAATGAAATAAAAAGTTTCATTTGTCATCATAATCTTTTGCTGACAACAGTAAATTAATTGCAGGATATGCTCCTCAAGAGAGTAGACTACAACTGAATAAGATGCCTTCTGGCATCTTGTGGAGTATATTTTATGTCAATTCTATACAATTATTAAGATAAAAGGTGATCCAACCTAATACTAAGTAAAAATGGCCAGTTACAATGTATGATGGTAATATAGCACATTGTGCAATCAATAAAACTTCAAACTAGGTACAGTCAAGTCATACCCCTCCCTGCTAAGAACACTTGTTTAGGTTGATGGGCTAAGACTAACTGTTTATGCAATTTCAGTGCTAAAACTTATACTTCAATCAATTAAAATTAATATAACTCTGAAATTAGCATTTATCTGAATTAATTCAATACCATAATTTTAACTTATGCTGTAAAGTAAAGACAAGTATGCATGGTGAATGACAGCAGCTCCCTAAAACTACAGGTTATACAATAAACACACTGAACATCACATATGGTAGCTTTGATCATTAACAATGTATGATTAGAGAAAAATATAAGATGTAAAAGAACCAAATAATTCGTGTTGGTTAACGTAATTAAGAATGCTCACTTTTCTTTTCTTCTTCCTTTTTCTTCTTCTTTTAGTTGTGCTTTTCTTTTTTATAGTGTTTGTCTTAACTTTCTTAGTTGTCTTTCTTCTCCTTTTCCTTGTTTTTATCTTCCTTGATTTTCTACGTACTATTTTTTTCTTCCTTCTAGGCACTGATGATGATGGTGTCTGAAAAAAAAAAAGCTTTGTGGGGAAAATGTTTCTCCTCATTCAAGCAGCACAAAAACTTTTATAATGACAATTTAGTATTTCTGAATGGTATACAAAGTTTTCAGTGTTACTAAAGAGAAAGTAATTTCCCACTTAACACATGTACAAATTCAATGCTTGCAATATATAACTTTAGTGAAAAAAATATAATTTTTTTTGAACAAGTGAGTAATGAACCTTTAATACTACCAAATATCAAGATATACTACACAAGATTAAGTGAACTTGTTTACTACATGTGAATTTCTTCTTACACTAGCTGCTTAAATCTGAAGTTCAGAATAACACAAAAACCATTCACGTGAAAATGTATGACATTATATTTTAAAAAGACAAGTTTCACTCAAAATTAATGAGATTGTTTTGCACACATACACTTCCTGATTCAAATAATTTTGCAAATAGAAGAATTCCCTAAGAAATGAAATATTTTTTTTTTACAAAAAAAAAGTTATCTATAAGAAATTCAGATGGTTATCTCCATGTTCACACCAAACATTGCTACTTTTAACACACATCATAACAAATCCTTACTTAAAAAAAAAGAAGATATTTTTCTAATCTTTATCTTGCTTTGTTCTTCTACTGATTCTTGTACATATATGAGAAATAAGGCCAAGTGGAAACCTGATTTAATCAGTTTAGTATACATATATAAAGAAAATTACAAAGCCATACAGTGTGATACACCAAAGATCTTTCTTAATTAGCTGTGAGTAAAAAATCCATAAAGTCAGAGATCTGTTTGGTGATTCTGAATCCCTGATCCCAAGTATTATTTTAAATTAAATACCTTACCAACAAAAACAGCTAAGACTTCTTTGAATTTATAGCCATACACATGTAAACATCTAATGAGTGAAAACAGAATAAAAAGGAAGAAAATCAATTTCTTTAACTATAGCAGTTAATCAAATTTTATCTAAAATAAATCATTACTTCTAAATTGTGCTTTGTAATAAAAAGTACATAATGTAACAATTGCTCTTAGATACTTACAGCTATCAATTTCCCAATATTTTTGAACTGCTTTTACCTGAATTGTTGGAACTCTTTCATTTTCATCAGCTGATTCTCTTGCAATCCTTCTTCTCTGAATACGAGAACGGACATTTTCACTGGCTCTTGTACGAGGTATAACTCTTCTAAACACAGCAGCACCTGGCCTAAAGTTACTACTCAGCATTTCTCGAAAATCATCCAAAACCTCCTGGGGCATTGAAGCTGTTAGAATGGAAACTTGAAGCATTAAAATTGAACACTTTTCTTGAGGATACACACTACACACAAAATGAACTATTGTAAGAAAAGACCACTTTTAATTGAACTGAAAATTGAATTTAGACCCTCTGGCTTGGGAACATGGATCTTGTGATAGATATGAAAGGACATATTCCACTAAAATTATGCTAACAAGTTACAGGAACTGAAGCATATACTACTTCACTCATACATTTAAACTTGAATTTGGGAGAAAAATATTAATGATAAGGCAACTACAAACAAGCTTCAAACAAAAAGAATCTATTCAAAGCTCTCAGTTGGACACATTATATTTGCTACTTACAAACATTTTTTTGAAAACCTGGTGATAAAATACAAGATAATTGAGATAAAGAAAATATGATTCAATTAAATAGTACAAATGTAATGATGGAATTGTACAAAGTTTTTAAACCCCCTTTACAATTAAATTATTATCTGATACAATGGTGATGTAACAAAAGTTTATGTGAAATGATGTTGCCACGTCCATTCAACAAAAACAAAAAAAACTTTATTCAATTTTCTATAAGACAACATACAAACAGTATAGGAAGAGAGCACATAAACATCTTGTATATCTTAGAGTGCTCTAGCACTCTCTATGGCGAAATGCAATGAAAAAAAACAAAAATAATTCAACAAAAAATAAATTATATATATAACATACTTTCATGCTAATTTTACATAATTATACACAATTAATTGCTACTGAGCTCCAGTTTCACAAGTTATCTGTGAGTAACAGAATATTCATAAATTTAACTGTGCTATTCTCAATCACACTCTCTTTCTCTACTTCAAGTTTCATGAACACTTCTATTTTCAGGCTATTTTTTCCTAACTGAATTCAATTTCAACATCTTTCAAAGTCCAACTTGAGGTGTCCAAAACTTTTGAATCTTATGTCCACCTTGAATTTTTCTTCTTCTATTTTGATTTTACTTAAACAAGTTGAACCTTCCTTCCTTTTCAATAAACTTGTTCACCTCTTTCTTCCACTCACCCTTACATCTCAATTTGCTTCCCTTTTATTCTCTACTCTCCTTCACATCTATTCTCAATTTTCCGTCACATTAATTGCCTTCACAACTATTCTCTACTATCTATTCACTGCTATTTTTAGACCTTCTACCATTCAGGCTGCTTTATATTGTCTTTTGTTTTACAGCAAATATTTCTTTATATAAAAAAAATTTTAAAACAATATATTGCAACTGTGACAGCACATTGCTAATAAAGTACTGATTAATTGATTAAATGTAAATAAATACCTACTTACAGTAAATCAGTGGCAATTGGATATCAATGTTGTCATGCTTAGTAGCCTATATGATCCCCTAAGTTTAATAATAGAAAACATTAGTTCCTAAATAATAATTAAACTTAGTGATCGGATACGCTACTAACCATGACAACAATAAATAAACAGTCTATTAATCACATGTTCTTTAAAGTTCTTTGTAGGTATCAACAGGCTACTAACCATGACAACAATAAATAAACAGACTATTAATCACATGTTCTTTAAAGTTCTTTGTAGGTATCAACAGGCTTCTTTCCAAACTGTTAATTTCTAGTTTTAGTTCATTCTAAGTTTGTTAGCTCATGCCATTTCCTCATAAGTCTAAGGGATTCATACTATACATCATTTCACTTTGTGTTCTCACAAAATCTCTGCCAAAATTTAAACATAATGAAAAAGAGAGCAAAGTTTAAATATTCTTTCATATAAAGTTTTAATCTACATTAATAGAAAAATACCAAATGTATATGCATACTAGGTTGGATAATTCACAGTTCTTCTTCAGTCCAACATTTGTTTGTGGGAAAAACACGTAAACTGCTTATTTTACAACACAAATTCCAATTTCTTGAACAGCGCATAACATTAGAAATGGGTTCAACTTAAAGTAACCTTCAGATGTGTTGAAGTTTGGCAACCTTTAGATTAAAGAACCTTCCAGAATTCTTCTTCTAAGATAATTTATAGTTCTATATATTATCTTAGACTCATTAGTGTGGATTTAAACTCTACTTTAAGGTACTTTACACAGATTGTGTGTTTACCTATTACTCTCTCATATGTCTAATTTTACCAAGATGAATAACAAACTATCATTTTACCATTTTCATCTCTTAATAGCTTTGTTGTTGGTACAAATTCTTCTGAGATCATTATGCCATAAAAACCAGTTCAAATACAGCCTTAGTAAATATAATTCCAAAATTACCTTTCATGATAAATGTAAACAAGGTCAGAAAACATTGGCATGTGACAGTCCCACAAAGACTATATATTTTGATATTTGGATGCACAAGTGAATAATTTCTTTGTTACTGGATGCAACATTTTGAAGTTGTAAAACATCATCAAATATAAAAAATGCAAAGGTAAGTCAATTTAATATTATCTCTTCAAGTTCTCCAAATCTTCAGTCAGATTGTCTTGTCTGTAAACAAAATGGTTAACATGATCCTGATAATAGATGAAGTTTGGGAAGGATCTGTTTTTTGTTTTTTATTATCAGTGTTTAATTCAATAGATATTAGGTCGTCAAGAAATTAATGTCAGGTTTTGGAACACTTTCGTTAACCACCTCCCCAAAAAACATACATCACGTATAATAGTTAAACAAACTATCTAAATGTCATGTTAGTGTAGCCTATATAATGTAAAGTTTAGTATACTATAATCCCTTATAGTTATGGCACACGACTAGACACACATTCGGCATGTAATGTTGTTTGAATACAAAAAGGGAAACAACTCCTCTTTAGCCATAAAAAATATCAAAGAAGTTTATGGAAATGTTTTAAACGTTCGTAAGTGTCAACAATGGTTTATTAAATTTCGTTCAGGAGACTTTACCCTTAAAAACTGTGATGGCAGGGGCCGATATGTTGGAATTGATATTGATGCCCTGAAGACGCTTGTTGAGTCTAACCCAAGGCAACATACTCATGAAATGGCCCTGAAATTGCATGTCTCTCATGAAACAATATATAAACATTGAAGGATATGGGAAAACTCCATAAAGAAGGTGTTTGAGTGCCTCACGAACTCTCCGATGATCATCATTTCCAATGCGTAAAACGTTGCTTCGTCTCTTTTACGCACGTAAC